ATGAGCTGTTCCAGAAACTCACAGCAAAACAGCCAGTAACACACTTCCCCTGACAAGCGTGATCATCGTGGTGCCCCTGCACCCAACACTGAACCGCTTCTTGGGAACACCATTTTCACCAGCTGCCAAGGAGACTAAGGTCATCTGACCCACCACGCCCTCCGGCATTCTCTTTCCGTGCTCCTGGATCCTGTTGTATTGGTCCCACACATCCTAAAAATAACCTCCCCTGTTTCTTAAGAAAGAAAGCCTCACTTTCCCCGGGTGTGCACCGAAGCAAGGCCCTCCCCTTGCTTCCCTCTAAAAACAGCCTCCCCACCATAAAGGGACCTCCCTCCGCTGGCCCACAGCCCTCACTTTCCCAGCAACACAGACAATAAATATTCTCTTTCCTTGCTCTGATCTTGGTAAATTCTTTCACCGCCTGCGTTACCAGCCAACCATGGCAAAGAAGTTCACGTGGCGCTTAGCTGTGAAAGGACTGCACAGAATGGGGAGATTTTGAAAAAAAAAATGAGTATTAGGATGGACAATTTATTTAGATATTTATAGAATTTATAAACAGTGAATCACCAGAAGTTATTACTATGGATTATGTACATTGTAAAGTACAGACAAGGAGAAAACATAACTTTAGGAGAGTGGCTACCATTTGGTAGAGAGGCAGGGAAAAAAGATGGCAATGTGCGACTTCAATAGCTTTCGTAATATAGATAGATAGATAGATAGATAGATAGATGATAGATAGATGATAGATGGATAGATGATAGATAGATAGATAGTACTGGGACTTGAACCCAAGAAGCACTGAGCCACCTGCCCCTCCAGCTGTTTTTGTTGTTTCATTTTGAAGTAGATTCTCTTGCTCATTCAGGCTGGCCTCAAACTGTGGTCCTCCTGCCTCAGCCTCTAGAGCCAATGGGATTTCAGGCAGGTACCGCCAGCCCTGGCATCATGTTTTTAATGTGGAGCAAACATGGAAAATATTGAAGTTTTTAAATTTTGAGTTAGATGACCAAATATTTTTATGTTATTTTCTATGCCTTTTTGTATAGTTAGATGTCTTATTAAAAATTTTGTAAAAAAAAGTTTTAATTAGAATTTTTTTTAAATTACAGTCATTTCTCTTCTACAGATCAAAGCTAGGCTTGCAGCCATCACAGACTCAAAGGGAAGAGAAATGATCCCAACCCCCAAAGTAGGGAGCGCCCAGGGATCTGCCCTGGCCTATGCAAACCGCCACAGAAACATCTTTAGATAGTGTTCTCTCTGCATTTATGATCTGCAGGCCTGAGAATCTCCACACAGCAAAAGAGAAGCACACTGAAGACCAATCTATCAAGAAATATCCCAGCTCCTGGACGGTCAGCTCCGTCCTTGATCTGATGTCCCTGCAGATGCCTTGGGGCTCTCAACGATGTTTCTGAGGCTCTTCAACTTGAAAACAAACCAGATCAGGACAACTGTTTCTACTAAAGAGGAACACTCCCATTTAACAAATTAATTTTTAAAAGAAAAACAAGTGCATTGTAACTGTAACTTCCTTCGGAAATAACAATAGACACCTCCACTGGGATCCCCAGTGACCTGAGGGTGTGGCTAGATGGCCTCACTAATCCCTCCCTAGCCCTTGGCACTAAGCACCCCACAACTTATCACCCCTTCTATCACTGAGGTTCTCAGGAGACCATCGAACAGAAAATCTCCAGCAGTAACTGGATTCCTCCTCGATCTCCTTATGAGCTGGCCTCAGACCCAGGTGCCCTGAACACTCCTCAGGTACCTGGGCTCAGCCCAGGGGGCGGTGGGAGACCACAGTGGAGCAAATGAATATCAATGATAGAGTTATTTTTTAAAAAGGAGCAGTTCTTCTCCAGCAGTCCAGATAATCATATACAAAATCCAATAGTATGACTCTCTCTCCACTGTGGATTATTTGGACATACAATTACATACAATTATTTGGACATACAAGAAGAATTATTGTGGCTCCACACAGCAATGTCCCTATATAGGAAAGCTGAGCTGAGGTCCTTAGGGTTTTACCAGCAGTCTGAAAACTGAGGCTCCCAGATCAAATCTGGCCTCTATTTGTTTTTTAAAATAAAGTCTTATTGGAACACAGCCCCATGCATTTGTTTACATATTATCTATTGCTGCAATTGTGCTAGAGGGCACAGCTGAAGAATGTGACCTGATAGAATGACCTCAAAGCCCGAGATATTTACCTGGCCCTTCTCAGAACTGAGTTTGTTAACACATGGGTCAGTGTCATGATCTGTGGAACTGTCTTTCACACTGTTCAACAAAACAACAATGACATAGATGATAGACAGACTGTATGTGTACATATCTATCATGTATATACATACATGTGTGAAAGTGTACATTTCACAAAATATTAATAATTTGTAAATTTAAGTGGAATATATAAATATTAATTCTATATTTTTTTCATGTTCTTTCCATGGTTAAATTTTTTAATAAAATGTAATAGTTTAAGAGCCAAAATGCTTTATTTAAAAACTCGAGCTAATCTCCCTTCAGAAGTTACACCTCATGGAAAGTTAAATAAAGAGCTCAATAACTATATATGTACACATGCACATACGTAATATGTAGATCAACACTTGCAATAGTTGCTAATTAATGGGGACAACCTCACTCAAAATTGCAATGAACAATATTAATCCTCAGATTTAATTAAAAATAGAAATATAGAACACCCAAAGTAAATAAATTTTACCAAGATCCAAAACAGAAGTACTTAGTCATATACAAATTATTGAATATGTTCAGCATTAGGTGACCAGTACAATTTACAGGTGTTTAATAAAAATTTAACAAAGATAAAAAGCTTTGGGTAACAGAAGAAATATATCACGTTCCTGAAGAAGGAAATTCAATGATTCAATATCGTAACAAGTCTCCATTTTTCATAACAGAGCTATTACATTGAATCAATTCCAGGGCAAATCACTGTGGGTTTTGTGGTTGAGGGAAAGACTAGGGATAAAGTAATTCAAAAGTTCCCCCAGCAGCAAAAAAAAATGGGTAAGATTAGCCAAGAACATTTTAAAGATGAAGAGTAATGACAGGTTTCTTATCTTAATACATCCAAAAATGTATTTTAAAGCTACAATAATTAAACTGTTAAGCATGACTCAAGAACAATAAATCAGAGAAGATAATAAACGAAGAGATCTAGAACTAAGTAAAAAGTAAAATTCCAATCAAGAAATCAAGTCCATATGAAAAGGGGAAGATAGATCATATAATAAGTGATATTATAATACCTTGCCAACAATTTGGAAAAAAATAAAGCCAGAACCTTGTATCATAACACTCTGCAATGTGAAAAACATTAAATGCACAGAAATAAAATCATGAAAGATATATAAAAGATGTAGATGAGTACTTTTATAAGATTGTGATGACACAGATCTTTCTGAGCATGAAACAAATGATAAAGAAAAACAGCCATAAATTTGGTGAATAAAATTTTTAACCTTCTGTACATCTGAAGTTTCTATAATCAAAAGTAAGAAAAAAAAAAAACAGAGAAAAATACTTGCAACCTGAATGATTTTCTCAAAAACTAGTGTCCTCACTGATCTTTATGAAGGGTGGGAGTATTTTTAAACAGGCAAATGCCACAAATATACAGACAGATAATTTCTGCCAAACTACTGTTCTGAAAGTCTGGACCAAAAGCTAGCCTGCCAAGGATGACTCCAGACCCTGTTAAATCACCTGCCTGAGAAAGCTCAACGCTACCAGAAAGATGTATTATTTGATCTATCCAGCTCCTACTAATGGGCCCTGACTGCCTTCTTAGAGCACTTGCTAGAAAGGGCTTCAGTTCCAAATATGTGTCTCTCCAGACTCACAAGCATCTTTCTCAAGGGCTCGAGGGTCACACCTTTGAAATGTCCTCATCAGGAAAACAAGGCCCTCTGCCTCCAGTCTCTGCATAGAGACAGAGAACAGTGCCCAAGCTTCAGCACCTGCTGCCAGCAGATCCATCTTCCCAGTGGCATATATACTGACCAGCCCTTCACAGTGTTTCCAACTCACTGAGACCTGCCCTTCCCTCTCTCTCCCTCACCATTCAGACACCCAGATTGCCTCTGCACAAGTTGAGAGGCAGCTCAGCTCTTTCTCCACTGCAGCAGTTACTAAGGGAAAAAATCTGTTTTCATTGCTTTAACTCATGTCTGGCTGTATTTGTCTTTGACAGTGCAACTCACAAAATAATACAACATTGAGATTTAGAATGATTATCTTTTTCTTTTCTGTGGGTATGTATTTTCTTTGTTTTTTATCCAATAAAATGTACTGCTCCTATAGCAAAACAAATAAAGCTAAAAAATAAAATAAAAGATTAAAATAACTCAAAATGAAGAACCAGAAAAATGTTTCCACAAGCAATGAAAACTTCCTACCAGAGAACAGTAAAGTCCCTCTCCCAATTCCAAGGTCTCATGGAACAAGTGGACATATTGTCTCACTACATTCTCATTAACCACTCAAGTAGAGGGTTCTTCTTGTCCAAATATTAGAAAAAAGAAAGTGGTGGCTCAGAGAAGTTGAGCAAGCTTCCTAGGGTCACTAAGCAGCAAGAAGTAGAAGAGGAATGAGAAACCATGTTGGCCTAATCAGAGATCCAGGTCCTTCCAGGCCTCTTTTCAGGACCTGTGGTGTGGGATACAGAAGACCTGAGTTCTAATCCTGATGCTGTCCCCAGTAGTGTGTAGCCATGGCAATTCTCTCCCCCTATCTGACCCTGTTTCTTTATCTGTACAATGAGAAATGGATAGCCCAACTAGTTATGTCAAGTTCTTTCCTGTCCTGTTCTTTCCTGTTCAGGCCAGATTTCTGTTCTTATTAAGCAACCACTGACAACCAATGGCCAAAGATGTGTTTAAGCCAGAGGTCAGCCCCAGTAGCTTCAAGAGCTGGAGCAGATGCCCACACACAGGCGCTCTGCCCTGCCCCACCTTGAATTCCTCGTGGATGCGTTCCTCCAGGATTTTGGCAGCCTTGCGGTCCTCCATCTCCACTTTCCACTTCTCTGCCAGGATCCGGGCTTTTTCGTTGGCCAGAGCATCCCGGAATTTCTTAGTGATCTCAGCTTCCTTCTGTCTCCTTTCAATAAAGCACCAGCAAGAGTCAGCCTGCGTGAAAGCCTGAAGGCCACGCCACTGTGGACTCCAGATAACAGTAAGAACTCTCTCCTGGCTTTTAGAATGACAAATACTGAAGATGAACAAAATTCCATGTTGGCAAGGGTGGAAAAAGTAGCACTCTCACACAGGGGGTGTCAACCAACCAAATCCTTCAGGAAGCACTAAAACCCAGAGTGGGAAATCCCACATCTCACTCAAGGGTACAAAGGGGAATGCAAAAAATGTTCATCAGATTTTTACAGCAGAAAATGGCAAGCAATTCAAATATTTATCAATAAGGCAAATAAATAGCTTTCCCATATATTAGAATATTATATAATAATATTCAATAGTGATATGGTTTTGTATTCATCAACTGGTCAAGATGTGAATAAAATAGTTTGAAAAGTACATATCACCTAAATGCTCACTGTAGTTATCTTAGATGATGCATGTTGATTGTTCTTTAATTTATTCTACATAAGTTGCAATGTTGTTTATACGTTTTTACTATTTTATAATTAAAACACTGTGTCACAATTGGTATGAAGGAGTTGGAGTCCACTCACAATACATTTCTAGGTTTGGTGGAAATGTTAGCTGTTTATGAAAGAAGGCCGACTCCAAACCTCACCCGGGACTCACCTGTTCCTCTCACATGAGGAGGACAACAGGAAGAGGGACGTGCAAATAACAGAAATGAATCCAAATTGCTCTCCTGTGCCCATGACCGCCAAGCAAGTATTTGTGGCGTGCAGATCCAGGTGGCTGCACGTGGCAGGGAGCCAGAAGAAACTGCCAGGCCAGACCACTGATGTAAAAGCTCAGCCCCAAGTCAGCTGACTGCCAGCTAGAAGAGCCTGGATTTGAACCCGCTGGGTTAGCTGACACAGGAATCCAATGCTCAGGTCACCTGGTCTCAGCAGGGCTCAGCTGACTGCCACCTCCTGCCTCCCTCCCACCCACTCCCACAGGTCCAAACCCACCCCAAGCTCAGGCCTTGCAACAGTCTGGCCCCAGTCCCCTCACCAGAGCTCCTCGGCCTCCCTTTGAGCCTGCAGCCGTGCCCGCTTGGCGATCAGCTCCTCTGAGATCTCTTCGTAGGGCTTGTCACCAGGGCCTTCTCCCATGACCCAGACCCAGACCTCGCCGTCTGCTCCCAGGAGCCACTGGATGTGCCTGTTGCTGGCTGCCACACAACAGGAGGAACAGAGGAGGAGGAGAAACATGTCTGAATTTCAATCAGTAAAGGATAAGCTAAGCTGGCCCTAGGCACAGAGCCATCACCCACCCAACAAAGCCAGCATCCACCAGAGGAGCCCAGGAAGACATAGCTCAAGGGAACCTCCATGTCCTCCTACCTCCTTTCCTTCTAGGGAGCAGCAAAGCAGCCCAGCTAGGCTGCCAGGCAGCATCCAGGGCCAAAGCTGGACCTGAGACCCAGCCCTCCTGAGCTGCTCATCAGAGAAGACATGGAGTGACAGGCAGCACTCACTGTAGGGAGTAACTTGTGCCACTTCTGGGCCTAGGCAGCTAGCAGCTGAGACCCTTCTCTGCACTTTCTCCCTGCTGTCCACTGCTGGAAAGAGAACCAGAGGTGGTGGACTGCAAGAGGGAGCAGCCTGGTGCCTGAGTCTCTGTGAGCTATATCAGGCTGTAACATGAGCAAGAAATAACTGCCCTAGACCTAACCACTGAGATTTCTGTTTGTCTATTGCAATGAATTCCTGTGACTAAAATAGATTGTCTTAAAAACAGGGTGCTATTGAAACAAATATGAGTCCTTGTTATTGCTTTAGCAGTTGGGTGGTGAGTGATAACTGTTGGACTGAGTGACAAAGACCCATGCAATGCAGAAGTAAAGCATTTGGCAAACACATCAGACACCATCACCTAAAAGGCGGGTCCCCATGCTTCCTGAACGTGTCATTCTAAGGGAAGAAGTTGGAAAACAAAATCTTAGTAATGTGTATTTGTTGCTAGTGGCTGTGTTTGGCAAGGTGTTAAAGACATGAGCTCATGGAACAACCGAGTGTTTTGAAACTAGAAATGAAAAAGAAAGGACAATACAAATTGGGGACTCCATAGGATTGCAAAAATCATCTCATATTCTAGTGCCCACACTGAAGAGATGAGACTATTGAAGTTTCCTCATGAGAGAGCCCAATCAAACTTCTTGGGTGAATAAATGACCCAGGACACAAAGCATTATGGTGGCTAACAGGATATGCTGCACTGACCCCAATACAAGGCACAAAGGTGACCAAGCTCTCCAGCCTCAGTGAGGCAAGAGGTAGTTTAAAGATGGCCATAGAAAGAAAGAAGAAAGAAAGCTTGCCTTGGAGCCTGCTTTCCTGGATGGAATGGTTGAGGAATATTTGCATCTACCTTTTCTTGAGTTAAACTTTAACCCAGGTGCAGGATATCCAGGTCTAACTACAATGGGAGACGGGAGCTACGTAACCTAAATTATACACAGCAAGTCTCTGAGCATCTGCCTAGTTGTCTTCAGCAGTCTTTGGCCAACCTTGGCCCTAATTACCATGTCATTGACTATGCAGTTTTGGCCACACACCCATGGGCTTCTGGTATGATGACAGTTCCTCCAGGGCCATGAAAGGTCAAAATTTCTACTGCCCAATGGAGAAGGCAAGGTAAACCACTTATTGGCAAGGGCAAAACTCAGACCAACCCCCAGTCCCACCCCAAACCCTAAGGTTTAAACTCTCAGGACCAAGACCATGAGTTCTTCTCACTGTCCTGTTCCCACCCTGTGGAGTGTAATTTTGTCAGGCCTGACCTGAGAAAGACTTTCCAATCCACGCTGCCCTCAGCAAACAAGAATTGATGGCCATAAGGAAATTTAGGAGTAGACCTACAGTCTTCCTGATACTGGAAGACCCAGCTTTATACACACACCTGTGAAGATCATCCTTGTAGCTTTGACCTCAAACATTCCATCCAGATTCCTAGGTCTACGACCCCAAACCCCAAACCCTATATATACATAGCCTCTGCTCCAGATATTTTCTGATATTACTCTGATTGCAGCCTGACTGTATGTAGAGGGAATTAAATCTAGTCTTTCCCACTCTCAGTTTCTGGGTATTTCCACATGCACCATTAATTAACAAATTCCATTTTTGGTAAATCTTTGATCTTGATGCTCCTTTTTGGTGTCCTTATCAAGTCTTTGGTCAGGACACCAAGAATCTGTTGTCTAAGATCCCTGTGCTTACCATGTACCCCAAAAGTTGCCATAGCCTCTGACATGCCACACTCATCCCTGGGAGATGTCCATCTCCTATGGAACCTCCTTTGCACAGTATAGCTGTCTAGAAAATCTCTTCCCAACCTCCCTCCCCTCTTCTTCACTCAAGATTAACCTGGCACTGTGGCCTCCTGCCCTCCTTCTTACACGAGCGTCTCCCTTAATTAATCCCTCTCATGATAAATCCCACCCTGGTCTCTGCTCTTCTGAGGAACCAGCCTGACCAAGCACATTAAAAGAGTGATCTCTCACAGTTTAACAAGAAAGAACCTTAAGGTACATGCTCAGCAAATGAAAGGGAGATGCTTAGGGGTAAGAAGCAAAGACAAGAAGTGAAAGTGAGACAATGTCTAGAAAAGAATGTTAGAAGTTATTCCTGAGACATGGAAGCAAACAGATGAGAAACCTCGTAAGCTTTTGAGTCTGCACGAAAAAGTGTTTGATTATTGAAGACTCAAAAAGCTCTTGGGCACTCACCTGCAGGATCAGGAAGCAGGTTATCAGGCAACCCTGATCCAAGGAAGGGTGGCCCTCATAGTTCACATCAAGAAAGGCCAAACATCAAGAAAGGCCAAAGGGTATCGTGACCAAGGAGGAGTTTGCTTGAGGGCTGAGTCACATCCTGCCAAGGCAGGACCTCCTCAGAACCTGACCCACTAGGTTTCAAGGTGCTACAAGCTGTGTGTCTTACATTCCCCTTTACTCAAGTGCCCTTAGAGCTGCCCAGCCCTGGTTCAGCACTGTATATTGTGTCTTAAGGGTGAGGAGTTGTTCAAATGGTGTGTGTTTATACTACACTCAGACCTGGTGGAGACTAATGCAGAACCTTGGCACCCACAGACTCTGAGCCCAGTACAGTGGCTGGGTACCCTTTAAGGAGTAAGTATATTTCATATGGAGAAGAATAAAGTATACAAATGATTAAGGGGACAATCTGTGACAGTGGCAATGTTGCATCCACCAAGCACAGTTCTCATCTCAAGCCCACCAAAGGCTACAGTTTCCCTCCAGGTCCTTCTAGTTGTATGGGGCCCTAGCCTGACTTCTAGTCCGTGAAATGCCAGGGGAAGTGACTGGTGCCACTTCAGGCGAGGGCTGCAAACAATGAGTAAGTCTTTCCACATTTTCTCTCTTGTCCACCATTCTGGAAATAAATGTCTCTAAATGACAGACTTTCAAGGGGAAAAAAAAAAGCAGCTTGAACCACAAGTCAATGTCTGAAAGAAAGTCATACAGAAGAGCTACCCAACCCACACCAAACTGTGACGTGATCAAGAAATAAAACTTTGTTGTATTAATCTACTGAAATTTCATGATTCATCTATTGCACATGGCAGCATTAGTTCCCTTAATATGAGAGGGCATTGGGTTTTTTTAATACATTTAACACAACATAATAATAGAGAAGCATGGGTTTAATTGTGACTAGTATACACAGAGAGGCAACCACTACTAGAATTATGAATCTTGCACATTAACAGTGGGGGAGAGTAAGTGGTAAGAGGCTCCCCACATCTGCAAAGTAAGTAAAGTGAACAGAGTCTTATGGTTTGGCTCTAGAATGTTGCACAAAGGTTCAATCTATTGAAGGCTGGTCCCCAGCTGCTAGTGCTGTTGGGCTGTGGTGGAGACTTCAGGGGGTGGACCCTAATTGAAGGAGGGGGATCACTGGCCATGTGCCTTTGAAGGAGATATTTTGTCCTTGGACACTTCTCTCTGCTTCCTGGCTACCATCTGATAACCAGCTTTCCTCCACCCTTGCTCTCCGCCATGCAGTTCTGTCTCCCCACAGTCCAGAAACATCACAGCTGGATGACCATGAACTGAAACTTCTGAAACCATGAACTGAAATAAACTTTTCCTTTCTTAAATTGTTTTTCTTGGGTATTTTGTAATAGCAATCAAAAGCTAACAGAGAAAACAACAAAAAAAAATGTAACAATAACAGCACTATTATCTCCTACCCACCACCTACCCCAGGCCACCTTCATCCTTCTCCATAGAACCCCATTTGTTTGGGGAGTAATAAGAAATTCTTATATTCAGGAAAGTTGAGTTTCCATCTCATACACAGTCATCTAAATTGACCGTGTAATTTATTCTCATTGGCAAGTAATGGAATCAGGAGTGACTAGATGTCCCTGTTTTTGACAAAAGGGATATAAGCAGAAGTTTTCATAGAAAAGGTGCAGCTTCTTAAGAGCCCTTCATTCCTCACTATTTTATCTCACTTCCTTTTCCTGTGTGGAATGAGGAAGGGAGACTCAAAGCTGCTGGAAGACTTCTGCAAGAAATGGATGGGGAAGCAGAAGACAGCAAAAGATGTGCCTTGAAAGATCTTGTTAACTAAACTAAACCACTCATTTCAGGACACTAGCAGATTTCTTGCCATCTGAGAAAAACAAGGAACTTCCAAAAATAAAGTTCTGCAGGTATTAAATGAAATGAGATAATATAAATATGAAAGATTTATTTAACTAAGCAACTATTAGTTCTGTGATTTGTTATTTCTGGTCAAGAACATCCCTCACTGATATAGAAAACAAACACATATCTTAAGTGTATTTGTCAACACAATAAATGGGAACAGAATGAATTTGTTAAAAATCTGAGACTATCAGGTGCAATTTAAAATAAACCCCAGCCATGTGTTATTTAAAGAAAACCCATATTTTCAAACAAAAAATTAAAAATGGAGGCAACAACAGCCTGCACAAAAACAAGCAAAAAGGAAGGGAAAGTGGTACAGTCACAAACCAAGATTCAAGGACAAATGTGTCAAAGAAGACACAGAAGGATACTGTGTGATAATAAAAGAAGCAACTCACAAGGAAGACAGAGCAGTCATAAAATGTTATATAGCAAACAGCACACCAGCCAGCTACATAAACCAAGACCTTTGACAAAACAAAAAGAATTTGAAAGTCAATGGGATATTCACGATGGGGATGCTAAGTCTGTTTCAGAAGCCAGTATGCCAAACAGATTTTTTAAAAATAATAATATAGAGGACTTGGATGATACAGTAAAAAATTGCTAAATATTTATGAATCCTTCTTCCATAAATACTGAGCGTGTGTTTCTCTTTATGAGAAAAATTTATAAGCCATATTCCCTAATAATAATCTAAAACTTAGAAATCAGTGGGGAAAATAGTCTTAAAAAGTCCTAACTGTTCTATAA